CGCAGGGTCACGCACGATGCGACACGGGTCACGCAGTGTCACGCACGATGCGACACGGGTCACGCAGGGTCACGCACGATGCGACACTGCTCACGCAGGGTCACGCACGATGCGACACGGGTCATGGGGGGTCGTGCATGACCCTGCGTGACCCGTGTCACATCGTGCGTGAGACTGCGTGACCCGTGTCACGCAGGGTCATGCACGATGCGACACGGGTCACGCGAGGTCACACACGATGTGACACAGGTCATGCGGAGTCACGCACGATTCGACACGGGTCACACAAGGTCACGCACGATGCGACACTGCTCACGCAGGGTCACGCAGGGTCATGCACGATGCGACACGGGTCATGGGGGGTCACGCACGATGCGACACGGGTCACGCAGGGTCACGCACGATGCGACACGGGTCACGCAGGGTCATGCACAATATGACACGGGTCACGCAGGGTCATGCACGATGCGACACGGGTCACGCAGGGTCATGCACGATGCGACACTGCTCACGCAGGGTCACGCACGATGCGACACGGGTCATGGGGGGTCACGCACGATGCGACACGGGTCATGGGGGGTCACGCACGATGCGACACGGGTCACGCGAAATCACGCATGCAACCCGATGGCACGAGGGTTTACGTGCTGTGCGCAGACTTGTTCGTGCAGCGCTAGCTCGTGCGCCCTCTGATGCAACGAACGATCTCAGATGGTCGATTCACAGATCATTGCACATTTAGATGAGTAACTTATTGCAAAGCTCAAAAGCTCATCAATAATCATCATAAAGCTTATCATAAAACCGTAATGTTACTCTAGACATCAAAAATGGCTAAATTGGACAGGAGAAAATTAGTTTAGTTGTATTAAGTTATTTCACTACACGTGAAAATTTATTACTTTCTATGTGAAAAAAAAGAACTAGAAGACTAGTTTAGACAAATTCAGTTCGCACGTGAAAACTAAATCATTTGTGCATAAAAGAGTTATTGGTCTACGTATGTTGGTGTAGACAAGGCTATTAGGTGTTTGATAAACTGACATGAATGCTCATGGTAACTGGTGACTGGTGATAATAGAATAAACTACGTCATTCTCATCAACATCTGTATGTTCTCACTGTCCCACAGAGCAGCAGACGAAGCAGCAGAGCGAAGCCTGCAGCAGCACCACAGCGACGCAGCAGCAGGAGCAAGAGGAACTGAGATGAAGCCATTTATCAGTTTATTCCTCCATCATTCCACATCCATGCGATCGTCGTACGTGTTCTTAGAGTGTTTCTCCCACTTGTGTCCACATATTTATTTCTTTATGTCGGGCCATAATAAAAATATTGTTTGTTTGCCCTCACCCAACCGATCCAGCCAAAAGGGGGCCGACTCAAACATTTTTATTGATCATTCCCATTCTTTTTTTTTATACAAATTGTATCACTGTACATTATTTAAATCTGTAGGCAATACATTATATGTACTAAGCAAAATAAACATTCAACATAAAAGGTATCTCCACACAAGCACACCCGAGCATAAGACACCATGCTGAATTTGTAAAAAGACCCCCCTCAAAAAAAATGTTAGGCCTACCTACCTACCCAAACTTCAGCCTGGGTCGCGTGAGGGCAAACAAATATTTTTTTAATTGTGGCCTCACGTACTATCTCTATCTTCTTTCATGTTGTATACTTATTGTACGTTTGTGACAAGTTGTAGTCCATTCCATGTGCACAGATAGATTTTTGCATTAAACGTCATTGTTTTTTTATAACCCTTATAAACATTATGATGAACGTACCTTCCTGATAAAGAATTGCATTGAAAAAAGCTCATAAGTATGCTACTAGACTGGCCCTCCAACTCGACAGCATTGGATAAGTAACGGGGCCATTGTCAAGTATCCGTTTTAATACGATACTTGCCACGCTATAATATTTTTATATGTCAGTTAGGCCGCCGCCATGGTATGACCTGCATAGATATACGCTGTACATATATACGTGTGTGCATTAAGGATATCTTATTTAGGATATCTATGGTTCATATATATATAGATCATGATCTCTGCAGAAAAATTGTCATATAGCCACTAAGCCTACCGCTCTAAAAGTCATTGCTAAAACCCAGTAATAGAAATATAATAATATATAATATAATATAGCTGTCATCTGACGTTCATGAAGGTGCGCGCGCGCATCCGTACATTTATTATTACATTTCTTACATTATCCCTACATAATATACGTATACGTATGATTTGCGCTGACGTTTGCTGTTTACGATGTGACGACCTCTCCGCTCCGCGTTTCCAGAGCGAAACGGGGGAGGGGCGTTGCTTTATTAGTGAGACTATTCGGCTAACCTACTAATGCGTAGTTTAGTTTACGTTAATGTGTCCGCCAATGTGCCGCGGTGTCTTTATTGGTCAGCGAGCAGTTTCATTTACGGTATATATTATCCCCCGTCGCATTCGCACGTTGATTTAGTAGGGGGATGCTAAACGCATGACTTGTCAACCAGGAATACACCAATATACTTCGGTTAAAACCGGTCGGCGTCGGTAACGTGTTGTTTGCGTGTCTATCGGGTGGGTTCGATGCGCACAGGCGCTCGTCATGCTAGCCTACCTCCGCCCGTATGATTTGAGAGAAGCGACGAGAAATGACATTGGAACGCGTGAGAAATTGCTAGGGTAGCGCCTGTCACGCGGTCGCAGAGTTGGCGGGGTTCACCCCTCGACGCATGGCCGCATTTTTTTTAGAATGCGCGTCGTTCGCGTGAAGGGAGCACGTAGAGTCACCAGGGCGAAGATGTTGGGGTGATAGCGAAGCAGTAACGCGTGCACCGCTCTCTCTCTCTCTCTCTCTCTCTCTCTCTCTCTCTCTCTCTCTTCTACTCTCTCTCTCTCTCTCTCTCTCTCTCTCTCTCTCTCTCTCTCTCCTTCCACTCTCCTCTCCATCTTCTCTCTCTCTCGTCTCTCTCTTATGTGACTTCTCGTCGGTCTCTCTCTGTCTTCTCTCTCTCTCTCTTCCTCTGCCTTTCTCTCTCTCCTCTCTCATCTCTCTCTCTCTCTTCTCTCTCTCTCTCTCTCTCTCCTCGCTCTCTCTCTCTCTCTCTCTCTTTTGTCTCTCGTCTCTCTCTCTGTCCTGACTTCTCTTCTCTTTCGACTTTCTCTCTCTCTCTCTCTCTCCTTCTTTCTCTCACTCTCTCTCTCTCTCTCTGATGCTCTCTCATCTCTCTTTGCTCTTCGGGTCTCTCTCATGCCGGCTCTCTCGATATCTTGTCCTCTGCTTCCTCTCTTTTCGCTCTCTCTCTTCTCTCTCTCGTACTCTCTCTCTCTCTACTCTTTCCTCTCGCCTCTCTCTCTCGTCTCTCTCACTGTGGCTCTCTCTCTTTGTCTGGAGCTCTCTCTCCCGTCTCTCTGAATCTCTGTCTCTGTTCAGCTTTCTCTCCTCTACCTCGTATATAGCGGGATATCATTTGAGTGTTAGTCAGTAATAAACTAGCTGATAACGTGATTTCGGACTCTCGATGAACACCTCAGCTGCCCGTCTGCTTCGCGGGAGCCTCGCCGTCGTGAACTACATCCCCTGTCTAACTCTGCCAGATCTAACGCACCGACCCACGTGTCTAATTTGCGATGATCATTTCTAAATAAGCTTGATTCAGCTCTGCAAATGAATGGTTCGTGGTTCGTCGCACGTCACAGGTTATCATTGCTTGTGTACAGAAACATAGCAAGCGTGCGCTTATCAGATTCAGCCGCATGAACCTTTTCCCCCTCCTCACCGTACACACGATACCCTCATCATATCATGTCACCATCAGCGTCGTGGATCGTTCATCATCATTCGTCGATCGTCCGTCATTCATAACCTAGAGTAAATAATAGCACAAGTTCATTTCTGCAAGGCTCCGTCTCACTCTACCTCTCTCCCCTTTCTTCCCTTATACTCCGCTCATCTTTCTTATATCATGTGTGCTTTTTTCTCGACTTTCTCAAACACCTCTAGTCTGTCTGACTTCTTTCACACGCGCACACGCACTCCCTACGCACCTGTCACCGCAGATACACCTCCATCTGTCCCTCTGCTCTCTCTCTCTCTCTCTCTCTGCTCATCTCTCTCTCTCATCTCATCTCTCTCTCTCTCTCTCTCTCTCTCTCCACTCTAGCGCTTCTCTCTTTCTTGCCTATCTATTCATCAACATTCATATCGTATCTATTCTAAGCTATCTTATCTTCTATCTGTCTATCTATACCAAAATCCATCTATTACCTCTCTCCTTCTCCATCTCTCTCTCTCTCTCTCTCTCTACTCTCCTCATCTCTCTCTCTCTGCTCTCTCTTCTCTTCTCTCACTCTCTCTCCTACCTCTCTCTCTCTCTGTCTCTCTCTCTCTCTCTCCTTTCCTCTCGCTCTCTTCTCACTCCCACACACACCGCGCGCACCTAAGGTGACGCAGAACCGCGCTGTAGTAGAACGTAACGTAATTGGTGCTCTATCTGAATGAGCGAGACGGGCGTTCGTAACAGCATCTTACTCGCCCTCCCAGCCCCCGCATCACATCCACCTCCCCATCACATCCCCACCCCTCATCACATCCCCACCTCCTTCATCACTATCCCCAGGCCTCCCCATCACATCCCAACCTCAACTTCATCATCATCCCCCACCTCCTCATCACATCCCCACCTCCTCATCACTCCCAGACCTCCCCATCAGCATCCCCGCGTCCCATCACATCCCCAGGCCTCACCCCATCACTCCCCACTTCGTCATCACATCCCCAGCGCCCCCATCACATCCCCAGCCTCCGCATCGCCGCATCACATCCCCAGCCTCCCCATCAATCCCCACTCCCATCACATCCCCACCTCCTCATCACATTCCCAGCCTCCCATCACTATCCCACCTCGTCACATTCCAACATCACCAGCGTCGCCATCACATCCCCAGCCTCCGCATTTCCGTCCATCACATCCCCAGACCTCCGATCTCCCACATCACATCCCCAGCCTCCGCATCTCCGCATCTCCCATTCACATCCCCACGCGTCCGCATCGACATCCCCAGCACTCCTCACTGCCATGTCAAGTGGTGCAGAGAGAAGTCTTAGCGGCGTACTCATTATTCTCCGTACTGCCGGCCAAAATTGTATGCGTACGAAATTGGCTTAGGTGGCTTGGAACGGGAGAGCGATTGTGCAGAGCCAGTGAGAAGTCTCTATCGCCTGTCATCACAACAATGGAAACAGTACGTTGCTGTAAATTCGATACATCCCCTAACGACCCACGTAACTTACAATCGCTTCCGGAATCGCTTACTAAGCCAGTTAATAATTAACGGCAGGTGGCTATAGTTTACGGATCGACGCGCTGCAAGGAAAAGAACACAGCTATATGATACCTGTGAAATCTGTGAAATGTTACAGCAGTTCTCCAAGATATTATAATAATATATAGTACTTCCTACTATATTATCATATATAATTTAACGCGGCCGCTGTAGCCACAACGCGTCTATGGCTCAAGTACATGCTCCTTCAGCCTACATTCTACGATACCATGCCAAATTCTCTATATCATGCATTAAGGCGCAGGGGATTTCTTCTATTGTTAATATGGCCTTATAGGAAGTTAGCATTATTTATTAAGTTTCTCTCTGTGGTGGTCATTAGTCTGCATTGAAGAATTTTGTACTCGGAGCTAACATTGATTTTCAGGTATGTATATGACGGTTTTTTAACCTAGCATTATCTATACAATTGCGATAGCCTACAGTCTTAGGGAAATTTTGCACACCGCCGAGTGCTCGCGTGCGAATAAGCGTTCTGCGGATTTAATACAATACCCATTCTCATTCGCAGTACATTCTCTGAATACGCCAATCATAATTATTGGCAACCTCCTCTCCTTGTATGCATACTTCCGTGACTGTAAATAAAAAGGTTGCTGAACGATTCACATACCACTTTGTTTTATTTTGTTAATAAACCTTTTATTGCCATCCGTCCATCGCTCTACATACGCTAAACTCTAGACCACACCTTTTCAACGATTATTATAGGTTGTTCGCAACATTTGCGTTACTTCACCACTTGAACTTTGTGACGCAAAAGGCGTCCATTCCTGCACTTGATATTTGAACTTTACATATGATTACATGTACATGTAATGACCACAATTCCGCCACGCACACGAGCTGTTTGTCGGTTTCTCCCGCACAAATTGTCTACGATTAGCAAACCTGGTGCAATTTGTGTTTGCTAAGATAATAACGTGTCAACGGTGTGTGATAGGTACAGAATCTCTCACCGCACCGCAAACAGCGTGTGTACTATTTACCCGGCAACGATGGATGTAGTATGTAGTCGGTTCTGACGTGGTAGGTTTACGAACATGGCGTAAGGCAAGTGCAGCCCCTCGATCACGTCGCCAGCGGTACATATATTTTCCTACGCACACTCGTGGTCTTGCTGAAGAATAGATATTTACAGACGTGCCACTGAGAATTGTATGCCTGAGCGCGTACGTGTGTCTGTATGTATGTGTGAGCGTGTATGCATCATGTATGTATGTGCGTGCACGTACGTGTATGTGTGTGTGCGTACGCGCACCCCCTCCCATACAGGATGTGTTTGAATCGTACGTGCACTCGTGTGGAACGCTACGTCGTATGTATGTGGTGTTAACGTAGCGTATTGTATGTGTGTGTGCGTACCTTATTACGTTGGTATGTTGCTGTGCGTACGTACGTAGATACGGTGTAGTGTGTCGTGCGTAGTACGTACGTGATGTGTGTGGGTGTGCGCTCGAATGCGTACGACGTACGTGCTACTGTGTGTGACTGCGTACGTGTATGTGTGAGTTGTGTAGTACCGTACGTGTATGTGCATGTGTGTGCGCGTACGTACGTACGTGTATGTGCATGTGTGTGCGCGTACGTACGTACGTGTATGTCTGCTATGTGCATTGTGTGCAGCGTACGTACACAAGTACGTGTATGTGGCATGGCTGTGCTGCGCGTACGTTACGCTACGGTATGCTGCATGATCGTGTTGCGCCGTACGTACCGTACGGTAACGGCTGGTCTGGACCCAACATACGCACGTGTATGTGTGTGTGCGTACACACGTGTCTGTGTGTGGCATGCTTAGTGTGTGCTCTGTGTGGTGTGGTCGATGTGTGTGTGTGGCTGTGGGTGTGGTAGATATGTGTGTGCTGTGCAGCTGACGATCCGTGCCGCGCGCTACCGCGGCCATACGCGTTGATGTGAAGCCGTGTGCGTACGTCTGTACCAGTGTGCGTGCGTGTGCGTACGTCTGTACCAGTGTGCGTGCGTGTGCGTGACAAAACCTGTGGGTAATCGTATACGTAATACGGTAACATCGAAAGTCGCGCTTAATCTCACCGTTTTGCGTGCGCGAAAACTGTTCTCAGCAGGTCGTGCCGACTACCACCCACAGTCCGACAAAGAAGGCTAATAGAAAAGTCGCACTCGATTCTGCTACCACTGTGGTCATGAGGCGCTAAAGCCCGGTGACAAGTGTGCTGGTGTGACGAACGACTGCACTCGGAGTGGCCAGCGCCGTGCGACTACTGCGGTGAATAACGCCCACCGCGCGCGCACATCCTTGACGGGGCACTCGCAAACTGGTCCGGCAAGTTTCTCTCACTAGACACGCAGACGAGGGCCACTGTAGACGCACCGTTAAAAGACGTCGCACGCTCCGCCGCCTGCTGCTGCCCTACCGGTGGCCGCTCACAGGGCTCGTGCAGTTAGGTGTTCGGATAGTCTTGGATATATCTTACTCGTGGAAGGGCTGTGTTAGGCGATTATTCTTAACTGCTGTGACAAGTGTGATAGCGTGTGTGCGTGCTCGTGTGTTGTGTGTGTGGCGTGCGTGCGTGCGTGTGTGTGTGTGTGTCTCTCTTACCCGGATGGAGTCTGCGTGTGGTAGTAGTTGTGCGTGTTTGTGCTCATACTAACACGCATGAGACCTTCATTCGACGAGATTATTCTCTTGCAATAAGAAAGAGAGAGAGAGAAAGAGAAAGAGAGAGAGAGAGAGAGAGAGAGAAAAGAAAGGCAGATCGAGAGAGAGAGGTAGCAGAAGAGAGAAAGGAGAGAATAGTGAAGAAATGAGAGTCAGTGAATGAGTGAGTGAGAGAACGCGAGTGGTATGTGCGAGAGAGATGTAGCGAAAGACAGGGGAAACGAGGATGCATGTGTGTCTGTGTATGTGTGTGAGAGAGAGAGAAGGGGGGGGGGTATACAGACAGTCATGATCTGAAAGTGAGTGAATGAGATGAGAGAAGAGTTATCATCGTAAGTTGTTCGTGCTGCAGATTTCGTGTGATATGCTACAAAAGACACACACATCGCAGGACAGGATAGCCTGCATTTAACAGGACCGAGATTTGAGATATCGGAAATCCACGTAAGTTCACCCGCGCACGCAGAAAATACACGCGAGTATATACAAGCAACGCATAGCTCTAGTACTGTAGCCCTTGTTACCACAGGCCTGCGACAACAAGGGATATAGTACTCGAGCTAAGCAACGCAGAGTTTTAAATCTCAAAGCATGCATCACGAACTCCTGGTATGTATGCTGCTAGCGGGCATCATCATACACACGCCCATTAATTGCCTGCATCTCGGCCTTCTCTCTCGCACGTGGCGTGGGGGGGATGAGAGTGTCGTCATTCACCTGGGCGCGACAGGGCAGGTAGCGGAGACATCCTTCCGTGTTCTGCAGCTTTCAGGCGCACCGCAATCTGAGACGCTGCTATTCACGCGGGCAGCGCTGTGAGTGTTTGCGCGCGTGTGTGGATTACGTATACTTATAGCGGAGTGGGTGAACTATGTGAATGAGGCGGCAGAGTGACGGGAGGATTTAGAGTGGGGACGTAGAGGATATAGAGCCAAAATCACTTCGAGGTACAGCGGCGACGGCAGGTGTGGCTTTATCTCTAACTCCATCACCATCAATATACCCATCCCCGTCTTCTCCCTCTCTCTCTCTCTCTCTCTCTCTCTCTCTCTCTCTCTCTCT